CTCACGTAATTTTTCCAAGAAAGGTTATTGCTGATAGTAATACCAAGCATCAAAATGGATGTGAACTAAGGTATGGTTTCCCTGAGACGCTTATGTTGTGCACAGTGAGATCGGCTTTTCTAGAGAAAAGGTATGCTTGTGTTTCGTTTGCATTGAATTCTATCAAGTTATTGGATCCTTATTCGAGAATTGTTGCCAAGTCCATATTTATGTTGTCAACATTTCTCCCCCATTCGTTTCTGATTTGCCTGGCTGGTATTGGAGCCCTGGAAGAGAAGGCGATATAGAGGGTACTATCATCCGCGAAGCTGAGTACTGGACATGAAGTTGCTTCCAACAAATCGTTGATATGGAGTAGAAATAGTGTCATTGCTAGATTTGATCCTTGCGAGACACCAGCATTCATGATAAGAGAGTCACATGATACTCCGTCGACCACTACAGTGACCTGTTTGAGACAAAACTGGCTAGCAGTGAACATACCTAGGAAGGTAAGCTTTAAGATGGGAGCTTCGCGAGGAGTCCGTGGGGAGACGTGAGCAAGCAGGTCACCAGTTGATTTCTGATGACGAAAGCCGTATTGCCTATCGTTGATTATACTCGAATGTTCCAGGTATTTCATGAGCTCGAGGTTGATCGGTCTGTAGTTGCTAGGTAGGGTCTTTTTGAATTTTTATGGAACTGGTCAGGCTCTCGCAATTTGTGAGTTGGACGGGAATATCCCCAATTTGTAAGAGTAGTTGGATAACTTAAAGAGAACAGGTGTTAGTTCGGAAGCACATGTCTAGGGAACAATCGATGGAATTCCGTCGGAGCCACAAGCTTTGTTGGTATTGACCCAATAAAATCTTCCTTATAGTTTGTTGGCGAAAGGTGATCTCAAGCATATGACTGTCAATTTTTTTCGAATTTTCGATTTCAATTTCTTTCGAATAGCTAAAAGCAGATTAGTTACTTACAGGTACGCACTGATGATGACTTAACAGTCGAAAGCGCACTGCTACAAATATTGAATACATTATTCTGCAAGAAATACAAATCTTTCCTTCTTTGGTAATCCTTGAATTGACTCGGCCGTTACTTGATGGAAATCCATGAAAAATGTAAGAACTTCACAAACGATTAAGATTTCCACAAAATCCTCAAACACACCACATGTTTCGCTAACACAGTAGCTTTGTCAGGTGATATACTGGTAAAATGAATTAAACTAACGTTGGCTTGCTTTCCTTTTGTATATCTTACTTTCCCAACCTGAAGGATTAGTTACCTGTGGACAGGTACGATAAACCTTCCTTTTCGGAAATTAGGCACAAAATCTACATTGGATTACGGTATACCGGATTAACTTGAAAGAGTCGATAGCAAATACATATTATCACTTATTAAAAAAACAAATTCAATAGTGGTGAACTATTGAGGTCTAATTGATCATTAAGTGAAATGTCAAAATTTGTGAGTATGTTGATTTCTTATGATTCAAAATGATTATTCGTAGAGAAGTGGATGATGATGTTCTTTTTTGTGAAGGTGCAATCACAAGAAAGCAATTGATGAAATTTTGATAGGTCTGATGAAGGAGAAGCTAGAATTTGATGGAGGATGGAAGGATGTTAATCTGTATTCATTTGATAGTTCTTGTGATATCTATCATATTTTTCGAATTCTGGAATTGATGATTAAATACTGTTTATATGAATTTCAACTCAACTCTTTCATGCGTAGATATATATTGTTATAATATTTTGTGGTGTTTAATGAATTATGGTAATAGTGAGTATCCAAAAAAAATTTATTGTAATATAAAAACAGCTCAAATAAGTTTAAAAACATTTACCTGGCTTCATTCCTATACCATTTGCTTCGGTTGCTCACCAATTACCCTTAGTTCATTTCCTCAGCTCAGTCGGTAAACCTATGAACATGATGTACTCTCTTTTTCAAGAAGGATTCCTCGAGGATGTGAACAAATCTAGATGTCAAAATTGTCTTAATAATAAATTGTAGATATCGATTGAAATGGATTTTGAGATATAAATAGAGAAAATATATTGTTCAGAAATCAAAATTATCATATCATCTAATATTTAACTGAAGTACCTACTCTGCACCAACTACCTTATACGCTAAGACATCAACAACGATGACAATAAATGATTTCGAATATTCAAACATAGAAGAAAATTATGATATAAAATTTATTCAAACAATATTTTTCTGGCTGTCGCCTAGTAAAACGTTACGTTGAGATCCGCTGCAACTTGTAGGAAATGTGAAAATTTGTGGATGAATATAGTTTTTCTAAACACTCTCGGAAATCAGTTTTTGAAACACTTTCGATGAGAGTCTACTGCTTAAGCTTTGGCTGGATATATCTTGAACGAGGAATATGGAAATCGTATGGATAAGATAACTGCTGTTTCCAAAAACTCTCTCTGATGAAATAACAAGTAAATACCTTGTTGGTTTGTAACTGCTGACTTCAGATATATTCCTGATGTTTCTGAAAGACTTCGTCGTCTCGTTCGTTGTAGTTTCATCAATGTAGGTTTCGTTTTCCCATAAATATTCTTGCAATCTTTATTCATGCACCTTCCAATTCTTTTCTTCCCTTTTTTCCTCCCTGTTTGTTGCTCTCCACGTAACCAGACCCTTTTTTTTATTTTCCTCTCACTTGACCAATCCCTACACTTCTTGATTTATTGACTAAGCCTATTTAATACAATCTAACTTCTACAATGACACATATTTTTCTCTGAACTTCTTGTACAAATGCTTCAATCTATCCTCATTTATATCTTTTCTTCCTGTCACATAGACAAACCTCTCAAAATGTCGCGTTTTTTTTTGTATACAATTTGTTCAATACTTTATCAAACTTATTGATGCATTGATAGAAACCAAATTTGAGCTTCTACAAAACCAAGTAAAATATTCTCAAACAAACTTCTATAAAAACTATTTCACTATTGAAATGATATATCATAACAATTCCCCAGAATTTATATTCAACATTTTGATATACCATTGTTAGCAAAATTTGAATATCAATTTTATCACTGAAATGTTTTTTTTTTCTTTTTTTTTTTCTTTTTTTTTTAATATGATGAAAATCTCTATAGATCTAAAGAACATCAAGAAATTATCAATTATGATAGATATATTCTAGTATAGCAAATATGCTTCTGTACTTCTTGCTTTGGTCTTTTGTTTTATTTTATATGGATATTTATTCTTCAATCTTTGAAATGATAAATACTTTCTATATTGAATATTCCTCTCAGTGTTCTGTCATTTGGATTAATTAATCTGTAACTGTTTTTTGGTTTCATTATCCACTTCGTATGGTCCTTCAAATGGTAACTGAAGTTTTGCACATATCCCTCTTTCAATATTTGGTACCCTTAATGCCTTGACAATTACAAAATCACCTTTTTTAAATCTTGTTCTTTTAATTCTACGCATATTTTCTTTCTTTATATATTTCATTGCATTTCTTTGAAATCTTGTATTCACTTTCTCCATTACATCATCTAATACTCTATTATCATTTATCCATTCTCTCTCAGGCATTCTTCCAGTCATTATATATTTCGGACACTCTTCTGTTATGGTACTAGGAACTTCATTCGAATAATTCTCTACTATTGCTAGTTTTTCATCCCATAATCTATGATTTTCTTGTGATGTAATCTTAAATATTTAATAACCTCTTTTATATATCTCTCAGTAGGATTTGATGAAGGATGTCTGATACTGGTAAATTTCGATTGTACTCCTATATTCTGAGTAAACCTCTTCATCTTATCAGGATTACCTGCTCTGGCTTTCCTATTTCTACTATAAACTTGGTTAATAAGTTTTTAACTATTTTGAAATTGGTTTTCTTTGTAGGATATAACTTGATAAATTCTGAAAAATGATCCATTATTACAAAAATGTGTTTATTATTATTTTTACTAGATATCAAATTACTAACAGAATCAATAGAAACAATTTCTAAAGGTTCACTTGTTACTATGCTTCTTGGTTCATTCCTATTAACTATGTTCTGATTTTTTCCCAATTGACATAATCTACACCTATTTATAATATCTTTTGTTGTTTCAATATCTCGACAACTTATATAATTTTCCCTGAATATCATCCAAGTTTTTCTTACTCCTATGTGCAAATATTTTTCATGAATATCACTAATTAGCCTTTCAGATAATTCTCTTGTGACTACATACAATTCTTCCCCATTAACAACTTTGATGATTATTCCATTCATTTCTACTGTTCCTCTTTTATTTTTCTCTGTTAATCTATTTTGATCTTCCAATATTGTTTCTAAAGAGAATAATCCTGACATATTCTTGAGAACATTCATACCAACCTTAACCTGTCTATTAGGGTTCACCTTGTCCATTTCCATCCTTGTTAAAGTATCTGTTATTAAATTTTGTTTTCCTGGTATGTGACGAATTTCAAATTTATATTCTTGGAGTAATAAAGCCCACCTCTGTACTCTGTTACTAGCATATTTACAATTAACTATAGACATAAGTGCTTCATGATCTGTTTCTATGAACAATTTTGCTCCTAATAAATAAAATCGTAATTTTGTTACACAGAATATCATACTAGCTAACTCTAGTCTATTTATTCATTTATTTATCAATTGCAAGGTATGTGTGCAGAACTTAAACAAAAAATCGCCTGGCCTTCAATGCGCTGGTCTTTGCCATGGGTCTTATCATTGTCGATGTGTGAATCTAAGCATCGAACAGGTCAAATTGATAAAATCAATTCCCGGTTCGATGTGGAAGTGCCCGACGTGTCACTAGCCGTCGACTGATGAATTCACGCAGCAGTCACAGTCAAGTGATATACAGAGTGTTTCTTCCCCCTTGGATGTCTTTGTCGATAATCATTTCCCTGGCAGGTCTCACGTTGGTCCAAGCATCGATATATCAACTGCGCTCATGGAATTCAAAAATGAAATTGCATCGTTCAGAATGCAACAAGATGAATTAGTAAAATCAGTTTCATTTTGTTCTGATGAAATATCTGATTTTGAAAAATCTCTGGATGATGTTGAAGTCCTAATGAGAAAATTTGAAGAATTAAAGCGTGATAACGATAACATGAAAAAAGAAATGTCTAACCTCAATTCGAGAGTCAATGAACTAGAGCAGCACTCTGAATCGAAGAACATTGTGATACAAGGAGTTCCTGAAAATAACAATGAAAACCTTATTTCTATCTTCGAACAAATATCGAACTTTCTCGGAGTCGAGGTGAAGGACAACGTCGAATTCGCTAATCGAGTACAGTCAATGAAACCTGTTCCTGGAAAGCCAAAAAACATTGTAGTTGGGTTTGCATCAAAAATCTTGGGAGATCAAGTTATAGCTCTAGCTAAACAGAAACGGAAAAATAGCTCTAATCCCAAAAATGGAATCAAAATAAACGAAATAATCGAATCTGTTTATATAAATGAGCACCTGACCTCGAATAATCAGTCTCTTCTGAGAGAAGCAAAAGAGGCAGCCAGAACGAAAAATTTCAAGTTTGTTTGGGTGAAAAACGGGAACATTTTCATGAGGGAGGACGAGAGATCTCGTGTCAAAGTTATTCGGGACTCTCAAGTCCTACTTACTTTGTAAGGATCTCACCAGTGCAAAATACACAAAAGTTATAGGTTCGCTATGGATATATTAGTATATTGTCAGAATGTACGAGGACTCAGAACTGAAACTCGAGGATGTAAATTGAATTCTACTGTAATAAACGCCGATGTCTATATGCTAACTGAAACATTCCTGAATGATAGTATTCTGGACGGTGAAGTTTTTTGTCAAGATCAATATAATGTGTTTCGTCGTGATCGTCAATCATCTTCAAGCAACAAGTCAGATGGAGGGGGATCGCTTATTGCCGTTGGCACGAAATTCAATGTCGTGGAGCGCCTTGATTGGCAGAGTGATGCTGAAGACACTTGGATTACTCTGTATTCTCATACACGGAACGAAAAACTACATTTATGTTGTGTATATCTTGCACCTCGAGACGATTATGCTAGGGCTTGTTTCACAACTAAGCTTCAGTTTATTCTTGAAAGAGTTTCGGGGGATCCAATTCTAATTTATGGCGATTTCAACATTCCCCACATTAACTGGGTTCATGGAGGGAATAATTTATCTTACTTACCTACTAATGTTGATGAAAAAAGCTCGAGTTTGATTGACATGCTTTCCTCTGGTGAATTGCTTCAGTTCAACTCAGTGAAAAATCATAATGGAAGGCTATCAGATTTGGTTTTTTATAATTTGGATAATGGAGTTTCTTATCTAATTGGAAGTCACCTGTCTTTAGTTAAACTGGACCTTCATCACCCACCTATTGAGTTTCATATCGAGTTTTCACGAATCAATGCAATATGGAGAAATCAAAATGAGTTTTACAATTTCAAAAAAGCTAATTATGCAGGAGTTAACAATTACTTGAATGATATTATATGGAATGATATTCTTGCTAACTTATCTCTAAACTGTGCTATCGATAAATTTCACGAAGTTCTAAGAAAATGCATACAGGATTTTGTTCCCAAAGTAGTTACTAAAAACAGAAAATTTCCAATTCATTTTTCAAATACAACCATTGATTGCGTCAGAGCAAAGGTCGAAATACATAAAAAATGGAAACGTTTCTTGAATTACAATGAATATGTTGAGTTTAGGATGTTGAGACAGCGGAGTAAACGATTAATTTCACAAGATTATCAAAACTACCTTACTCAAATTGAAAATGCAATACTGGTGTGTAATGAAGTGTTTTTTAGGACTTCATTACTAAGCAACGGTTTCTATCTAAATTCCTGTCTTATCGTATAGATTTCCATTCCGAGCTAATATTCCAGTAAAATCAGTTATGACCCAAGATACAGGGGTCCCATAATTGCTTATAATTCAGATACTAACCTTCTATTCGACATCTAGTTGATATTGAAAATATGCAGTTCGTTACACACCTCCTCATGGAATACCTGTTCTGAGAGATATCAAGATCGTATACCAATTACTAGGGATGTCTTTCGTGTCATTATAGCCCTGTCCTAGCTCCAGAAATTGACTCTTTGATATACAAGTACGGGAAGTTCTTTGGTAGCCTCTATTATGTTTAAAAAGCAATCCTGATGAATGGAGTGAAATGTAAGCCTGTCTTGGAGATGCGAGAGGACTTCCTGCAACTTTTGAAAGCCCCTGATTGTAAGATTTCCTGAAAATTCATAATTTCCACATGTTCGGCCTGGACCTTGAAGATGCAAATATTTACCTAGCAATAACCTGAATATCTCTGCTTGTAGGATATAAAAATTGATTCAGTAGCTTCCGCAAAGAAAGTTGATCAGGTGCCTAGGCCCTTTTGGCCAAGGAAATATTATTTCCGCATTTTTCTTTTTCCAAAGACAACTTCGGATTTCACGGTTGTTACCGGCATTTTCACGAGGTCAGTCGAAGCTAGCAAATCAGGAGCAAGGATAGCTGTTGGCCTTGCTCAAGTTGCGGTCTAGGCAGGACATAAATACTCGGTCCATCAGAGCGAGCAGTTAGTTAGCAGTCAGTCCAGAGAGAGTTAGTCCGACAGTCAGTTAGTGCTTTGAGTTCGATTCTCCGGTATCACTTTCCAGTCGGTTTACCAGTGTTCCTGTGCTTGCGCTATTTTTCCAGTTCACAATCCCAGATAGTTTTCCAGTTGATTTTTCCAGTTATTTTTCCAGGTAGTTATTCCAGTTTGCTTTACATTCCAGTTCAGATTCCAGTCCCTTTTCACATTTCCAGTCAGTTCAATTCCAGCATATTTTTCAGTTTTCTGGTTCATGCCTTCTGCTACAGTTTTAGAAATCATAACCTAACACCTGTCACCTGTATTATTTTTCGAAAAATTCATCGACTGTATAGATTTGCGTCTCCCGGGCCGATATCCGAACCTTCGCGGTCGCGCCAGTAGCAGTGTCGAGTGTTTCGCAGCCAGCAGTACTCCTGTTCCATCCAAGTAAGCTATTCCAAATTGGTTGGCGTACGCTTATTGTATTGCTTATAGTTTATCACCCTGTACTAAGTGAGTTTTTTATCTAGTAAAATATCGCCTGAGTAGATTGAAACCTTGTCTGGTGAAGAATACTCCACGTTCAGACGTTCAGAGTTAATAAGTAACGTAGCTGTTGTACCGAAAATAGTAGTGTCTCCTAAGTTTTGCTCTGCGGCTCAACCTTCGGGTGGATCTCGCCACGAGCTTAGGGACACCCTACTCCGATTGTTTCGAGATTGGAAGCCCGCCTGTGTGGATCCAGGGCCCGTCCCTTTTTGTTTGAGAAAAGTAGGATTCGCAAGTCAACCTGCAGACGGCTTCCGAATACTGCTATGAGCCAGAGTTAGAGCTATACTCTGAATGAGTACTTTTCACCAGCCTGTTCCGCGTTAATGATTTAACTAAACTATTTCATCCCTGTTTTCCTGTCGATACCAAACTCACTTTCGTGAATAAACCCTCGCTTGCAACTTTTCCGGTCGTATTCGGTGGTTCATTGTCCTTCCCAGACGGCACAATATCATATTCCATGAATATACTATGCATATTGCGTTGAAATATTGCCATATGCCATGGATATTCCATGTCCTCCAAAACATATGATATGCATATTCCAGGGATATCCAAAGTCACCATGAAACATATGCCAGCAATATCTGTGAATCTTCCAAAAGAGATTGGTGGCATATACTAGGAATATGTTTTTTGTATATGCATAGAATATGCTTTTCAATCATTACTAGATTGAAATATCTATATGAAATGTAATTTATTATGTAAAAGATAGAAATCAACATACAGGATGTAGGATTGTAAAATACTTGAAGCTTGCACTTCATATATTATAGGTATCATATGATTTTCTTCTTCTCTTGAACGGTAGCAGTGATGAATTCAACAGGATCTGCAATGATTATAACATAGCAAATACTAGAATATAAAGATTGATTGAATTCACCCACCTTTGCTTTGGGCGTGCTACAAAAGTTGAAAGAACTAGGTACTAAATTTGTCAACATCTGAGTTAATCAGCTGATTTCAATCTATTATTTTTTTCTTTGTCACGTCTGTATCCTCAACAACACGAGTATTTCCTGGATTTTCCATTTGACATATGGGTAGATATTGGTAAGTACTGAAAAAAATTAGGTGCATCTACAGGGTGTATCTAAATAACAGAGAAGAGATTTCAAGTGGTGATTTTGTGATGAAAATTGAGGTGGGCGTTTGGTATCCATTTTTTTGAAAAATATCGTCACGGAATAGTAACACCCTTCTCAAAATTAAAAAAATGGTTTTTCTTTTTCATCTCTGTATTTGAATGAATGCACAGAACTTGTTAATATTATTCATCAATAAAACTACCCATTCTGGAATGTTTTCAACCCTGGAGTATGCTTAGAAGGGCTTGAAATATTCAACGCCTAATATATTCTTTTTACAACTTTTTTTTTGTAAACACTTTTTTTTCAAAAACACATGGCGAATGCTTTTCCAGAGATCAAAAATAATTTAGTTAATGATGGATTGGGCTTTTCAGATGTTTTTTCAAAAGTTGTAAAATAATTATATTTCAACCCCTTCTAAGCATATACTTCAGGGTGTTCAACATTTCAAAATGTGTAGTTTTATTGACACGTGATGTTTACCAAGTTCCGTGTCATTAACTAAATATACAGGGCAGTTAAAAAATTAAAACGATGTTTTTTTTCATCTTCGGATGTGTGTAGGTATAACTTATCCGGGGTTGAGAGGGTTATAAAAAAATTCTATACCAAATACCTTCATTCTCATCACAGAATCACCCCTTTCATTTTTTCGATGTTATATAGATACACTATGTATATGAATTCATCAATGTATAATCTTAGGTATACCTCATACTGGTATTGAGTGCCATTGACTCTCCTTATTGTGATCCTCTTTTTCATCCCCAGTTTAATGGCGGCCAAAAGAGAAGTGCATCCTGAGTTAATGTTCCATTTTTGAATTGTAACCAACTTCAAACGTCTGAAATTTTATATTGATGTTAACACTATTCACAGTAATCGAAACACAATCGAGATCTTCTGCTCAAACTAATAATTCCATGCTCTTCTCGTCTGTTTATAATGAAAACAATCGCGGCATATTCGCGTCCATGTTGATATCACGTCGTTCACTAGGTGACTGTGGAATGCATGTGGAACAAAGGGCGATGACCGACAGACTCGTGTCGTGTCCATTCGGCATAGGTCGAAATTCCGACAATCTGCTTTTGAAATATTCCTGGAATTTTCGAAAAGCATATCTAATGGATATTCGATAAACATATTCAGGCAATATTCTTTGGGGATATCTAATAAATATTCGAAAAATATATTCCAGGAATATTCTTTGAGGATATTAGATCAAGCATATATTCATGGAATATTCCAGGAATAATGCAATATTCATTGGAAAATTGGATGTAGTAGGCATATTCCAGGAATATGAGGTGCCGTCTGGGTGCTTTGCTTGCACCTGCACTTGCACCTTTGCTTACACCTAACGTACTAGA